GAAGTTATTCAGATCTCTTTGATGAGATGAATATGAACCGTTTTGCCTGTCTCAGATCCGGGACGGACCTCCAATGAGCCAGCATTCGGTCCCTTCCCATTTGTGCAGTTCTTCGGAGGCGTGGCATTTCATTAGTCCGCAGAAAGGCTCTGGGTCTTGAAAAGGTGTTGTAGCGCCTTTCTTTGCGTGACGGTCTGCCTCCTCGTCCTCTATGCCCTGGTTTCCTGGTACTCACATCAGGGTTATTTTATTCCTACCAGCTAAATGCTTAAGGATATTTTTACCCTCCCAAACTAGCTGCGAGGTGCACTTGATGGCGGCCTTTAGAGCCGCTTGGCTGTCGGACGGTATGTAGATGTGTTCTCTTAAAAGGCCCCTTTTAAGGCACTATTGGGCACAGAGGTTTATAGCCAGTACCTCGGCTTGAAATATTGTGGGCATATTTCCCATTTCTAAGGAGAGTTTAAAGTTTGGTCCAGTTATTCCCAGTCCAACTCCTTCCGTTAGCTTCGAACCATCCATGTACCACAATGATGCATTGTCCGCAGCGGTAGCTTTGTGTCTGAAAGGAGAGCGGAATTTAACTTAGATTTTCCACAGCCCTTTTCATCCAAAAATACTCACTTTCTCCACAGGTCGCCGGTACCCAGAAACCCTATTGTTGATAAAGAAGGGCTTAAAGGATTTTTTTATAAATAAAACACTTCATCTTTTCTAATACTCCGGGGCACAAAATCTGCAATCACAATTGCCAACTAATCGAGAAAACTAATTTAATTACTAACAGAGATTTAATAATCAAGATTGAGAAATCAGAGGCAGTTGAATTCTAACCTCTTTAGCCAAAACCAAAAACGAACACACACTTGACGTGACGTTTCCAGTGACAGAATCACTTGTTCTTTCTTTGTCATTGGGTTTCTACGACAACGACGTGCGACGTTGCCGATGTTGCGTTTTTAACTGCAACATAGCTCCCCCGCGTTGAAACCTCACTTTCAATAAATCAAATATTCAGCAACTGCTCAACACTGAAAATATATCTATAATAAACTACTAAAACTAAGAATTATTTAAAGTTGTAAAAATCGTGCAAGTTTGATTTAATATTGGTCATTGATGAGGAGTGGACAAATCTTTACAATCGACCGACTATAAACTCCATACTGAGTCTGAACCTTGACAACTCTAACCCTTCCATCCTTACCAGGAAAAATCTCAACCACTCTTCCTAAAGGCCATTTGACAGGTGGATCAGTGTCATCCTCGATCAAAACAAGGTCATTGATCTTTATATTATCTGAAGCAGTTTGCCACTTGGCTCTATTTTGAAGAAGGTTCAAATAACTCACTGACCAAGCCTTCCAGAGACATTGCTGAATTTTTGTACATTTCTGCCATAAAGACAGATGATTTTCGGGATATATCATGAGATCTTTTTCAGGGTAGGAGGTGAGAGCTGAACCTATGAGAAAACGTCCAGGGGTGAGATAAGAGAAATCAATTGGGTCACTTGACAATGCGCAAAGTGGTCGTGAGTTTAGAATTGCCTTAACTTGGGCTAACACAGTCCAAAAACTCCGATAATTTCGTACAATTCTAATTAGGTGGTACTTAGCACTTTTCATGGCAGCTTCCCATATTCTCATGATGTGGAGAGCGAGCCGGTATGAATTTCCACTGAATTTCCAAGGTAGAGAGATAGGTTTGCACAGCTTCGGATGTATCGGATGTTTTTCAAAATACTCGAAATTCTTTTTTTGCCCCCAAAAAATTCGTACCATTATCCGAATATATCAAGGCCGGTTTACCCCTCCGAGCAATGCAGCAATGAAGCGCTTTAGGGCGAGTTCTCATGAGCGTAAGTTGACATTTCTGGCGTAATCACGTGATAAAATGGTTGGATTTTATTGGTAAAATATTCGCCATGCTGGAGATTTTACCAATCAAATTACTCCATATTATCACGTGATTACCCCAGAAATGTCAACTTACGCTCATGAGAACTCGCCCTTAATGTCAGTGAAAAATATTCAACTTTAGTAATGATTTATTTTGTATGAATTTTTTAGATTTCAAACTATGGATTTCTTCGGAGAAAAAATTCAACTGAATTACCTATATGTACAATTTTAGTTTCTGCCAATCTTCATTCTGGCACAGCGAGTGGCCCTACCATTTTTCCAGAGTTTTTGGGAGAATTATTTATGAATCGTAACGAGTAGGCGATAAGTCTTTGGAGTCTAGTGGAAGATGAATACTTCAAAAGAACTGTATCATAAAAATCCAACTCTTTGATCTTATTAAGATGCACTGTCTTTCTTTCTTCGGGGAGCTGTTCTGTTTTAACTTTAGTGTTGAAATTATTGAGATTCAAATTCGAGTGTTGTAAAAATTGAGAACCGTTCCACCACAGATAAGAGTCCTTTAGTTCACAAGGAGAAATACCACGAGACAGTAAGTCCGCTGGATTTTTTTTTTGATTTTACATGTCGCCAAGTATAGTTTTTCGTTAGTTCTTGAACTTGACTAACCCTATTGGAAACAAATATGGACCATTCGGAAGGATGAGATTTGATCCAGGCCAATACAATTTCTGAATTAGTCCACATATTAATGGATTCATAATTTACAATATTATTTGTTAAATTGGGTGTGATTTTAGAAACTAACCTTGATGTAAAAAGTGCTCCTAAGAGTTCCAACCTTGGAAGTGTGACTGTCTTAATTGGGGCTACTCGACTTTTGGCCGTGATTAAATTGCAACTAATTTTTTTATCTGCGTACACCAATCGAAGGTAAGCACAGGCTTCATAAGCCTTAAGGCTTGCATCTGCGCAAACGTGAATTTCAATTTTTAGAGGAGTATGAAATGACAAAATAGGCCGTGAAATTGTTATGTTTGAGAGAGGGAGAGGGAAGAATTTCGAGAAAAGTTATCCACTCATTCATGAGTTCTGCGTCAGGACATTCGTCCAATTTAAGTTTAGCCAACCAGATTTTCTGCATCATAAGTTCGGCTGAGACTACTATAGGGTTTATCAGTCCCATGAGGTAAAAACTTGAACTTATGTGTGCTAAAACTTCTCTTTTTGTGTAGACCTCTTTGAGTTCAGAGCTGAGAAAGAAAATCGAAAAACTGTCTGACTTTGAATTCAATAGAAGGACCTTGTTTGCAGCGTTTTCAGGGTTAATCACATAGCTACTTTCTTGAGAACAATCAGAAATTGTATTAAAAAATTCTGATTAATTAGAACACCACTTATGGAGAGAAATATGGGCCGAGTGTAGAAGATCGCTGATTTGCTGAAAAGCTTCAACCAAGGTATTTAAATCATTAGCTCCATACTCGGCTCCATAGAACATCATCCACATAGCAGGAATTCAACAAAGCATCTGAAGCTAGGGGGTATTTCTCTGACTTGCTTTCCGCTGAATCTACCAACCAACGAGTGCTTAAATATGGGGCGCATTTTGTTCCATAGGTGTTTGTTGAGAGTTCAATCAACGGTTCAATACAGCTCAGCTCTTTATCAGGACTATCACGCCACAGAATATTGAGCAAGGTTTGATTCGGGTTAATTTGTATTTACCGGAACATCTTCTGCATGTCAGCTGTACAAATTTGAAGGTTCTGAAACGGATAAGGATATCAAATAATTCTGACTGCACAATATATCCCTTCAACAAAATATCATTCAATGAAACGCCCGATGAAGATTTCATTGAAGCATCGAACACGACCCTTACCTTGGTGATTAAACTATTTTCCCTCAAAACACAATGGTGTGGGATAAGCTATTTGTATTTTGAAGAACTGTTCATGAGGGAGAGAGGAACATATCGAGCGTGACCGAGAGCAACATATTCTTTGATAATTTCTCTGTATTTGGAATTTAAATTTTCATATTTGGCCAACCTCTTCTCAAGGTTGAGAAAGCGCCTTTTCGCTTGATTAAAAGATTCAGTCGCCTATGTGCATTTGGCTCGACCAAAGGCAAATCTACTTGGTATCTACTATCCAGGAGTCTTAATGTTGTTTTTTTGAATCTTTTTTCTAAGAGTTCGTGAGTGATTTGAAGAATAGGGATGAGCCGAGAGGTAAGTATCCGTAATACTTAAATAGCTATTCAGCCTTTCCGGCTGATAAAAAGGAATATTTCCTGCTACCGTCGTGATCTGCGTAAGCTATTGTGTAGTGGTTGTCATTGTTGAGGCGGACAATGAGGCTGTGAAGAACCATGCTCCTCAGAAGAGGTGATAGCACGCCTCCCTGTACGATTCTTTTGGAGAGCATATGTAATATATATCCAGTAACAGTTCCAGGAGTACTCCTTTCTGTTAGCAGGGGTTTTGTCAATGTTGATAAATAATGGATTGTTTGACAGCACTTCATGCATTATGTATACCTTCCGCATAGCCTGTCCATTGTTTCTAGAGAAAAAGAGATGAGGTGCTTATGGGGCGATATGCTTTGGGTGTGGTGTAGTCAATCCTCCTTGGTTTGGAGGAGCACTATCTGACTTTCCTCTAAGCCTTGGGTATGTATCTTAGCGCCAAGGACGCCCTGAACAATCCTACCAGGTGCGGCAAGGGTAGTTCCAGGCCCCACTGAAGTAGGGCTGAATAGATGCCTTCAGCTTTGCCTTCAGGTCCTGGTTTTGAAGGCGGAGAAGTGTGATATTGTTACATATGCCAGTTACCCCGTATAATTATTATAATTTAAAATTATGTTAATTATGTACCTATGTATTAAAAAACCAATAATATATCTAAGTTTCTTTGTAATTTTTCATGAATAACTGAATATTTTGATTATCATCTGTCTACATACTTGGTAAACATCATTGATATAAAAAAAAAACAATTATATCAATAAATGATAGTAATCTAAGACCAAAAAACAACGACGATTATTTTAATAAATTATACTCGAAGAAAACAAATCAAGATCATATATAAGCCAAATCTGAAACATTGACATTATTAAAAAAACATAGCTATACTTACCTAACACGACCAACAAACAAATCTCACAATGGTAAGTTTAATAATTCCTTTTACAATGTAAAATATATATTAGTTTACACTTTTTGACAAAATGTTGGATCTGCAAGAATATTTTTCCGCAGAAACTAAATATAAGAAAAAAAATGTTGATACCTATCTCAGTTTCAGTCGCTATAGTTAATAATTACAATTATTTCAGATTAAGACCCTTTGTAGTATTGCTTTCTTCTTTGTCATTGTGAATGCTTTGGGAGAGGCAGAACAATGGAAATCGTATAAGGTAAGAACAAAAACCCATGAAAACTGAAATTTATTTACTTAGAGTCATTTTAGGCCAATTTTAAGAAAATATACAAAAATTCCAAAGTCGAACAGAAAAGATTTGCTATTTTCATTGACAATTTACAAATAATTGAAACTCACAATGCCAAATACGAAAAAAACCTTACCACTTACAAAATGGCAATTAATACATTCGCCGATTTGACGCGAGAAGAATTCGGGCAGCTTTTGGGATTTTCTGCTGGTTCCCAGGCAAATATCACTAGAAACAATCCCGTATTTCAGCCATCAGGAGCAGCAGTTCCAGACGAAATCAACTGGATTGAAAAAGGAGCAGTGACAGGAGTGAAGGATCAGGGAGATTGTGGATCTTGCTGGAGTTTCAGTGCTGTGAGTATTTTTAGTTTAAAAATTACTTATCTGTAAAATATATTTTTTCCAGACTGGTACCATCGAAGGTCAATACTTCCTCAAAAACAAAAAACTAGTTTCCCTCAGCGAACAAAATCTTGTAGACTGCTCTACCGGATATGGCGACGATGGTTGTTCAGGGGGACTTATGGACAACGCATTCAAATATACCATGGATTATGGAATAATGAGCGAAGCTAGTTACCCTTATTTGGGAGTCGATGCGACTTGCAAGTACGAATCCAACAAAGTCGTTGCTAAAGTCCAATCTTTCGTAGATATAGTTGTTGGCAGCGAAGATGGCCTGAAATCAGCTGTCGGTACTGTTGGTCCAGTTTCTGTAGCAGTAGACGCATCCGAATTCCAATTTTACGGATCTGGCATTATGGATAGTGCGTATTGTAATAATGGTCGTGAGTATTTGGATCACGGAATTCTGGCTGTTGGTTACGGTAATGAAAATGGAGTGGATTACTGGCTAGTGAAGAATTCATGGGGCGCCGATTGGGGTGAAAATGGTTATATCAGAATGTCTAGGAATAAAGATAATCAATGTGGTATAGCTACTTGTGCTAGCTATGCTGTTTTATGATCTATTAAATATTATTTTTTATATTATTAACATAATCACACCTATGTACTTTTATGCTATCAATAGAGGTTCTTGTTCGAATAAAAACAATACAAAATACTTTGAAGTTCCTATTCTCTAGCTAAACCCAAAACTGCCAAATCTTCTTTTGTCGTCTTGACAAAAGTTCCCTGCACCTGTTCAAATGTGTAAATTCCAAACCCCTCGTGGATACGATCAATATGCAAGCAAATACAATACACTCCTTTCTACTAATCTGTTAACTACACTATAACCAGAATAACAATCAAAATTTAAGCCTAAGACAAAATACATAAAGCATATTCGTTAATATAGAAAAATTGAAACAACTTATAAATCTAGGTCTTACATGTAACTACGTAAAGCAGGCGTTTTTGTGTCAGTTTGTACTGAAATACTTGGTTGTACTTCTTCAGACTTGTCAAAGCGGTTTAACAGAACAGCTTATTGATGTCAGTTTGTTGTTGTTGTTGTAGTTCGTTTAACCCTTCCGAGTCCATACTGTACACTTCAGACTTGGAGACTTCTCATTGTATAGACTCTTCTCCTTCCCATTGATACTTTGAGACTAGATGGTTGGCGGCAGGGCGGGCGACCTATCGACCTTATCGTGTACTACTGCGGTCACCCATCCAATTTCCATCCCGACACCACGTTGCTTGGTCTACGTAAGGCGACTTGCGTCCTCTATCACCAAGTACCAACGTACCGGTCGATACGAGACTCCCTCAGGAAGGACGGCCCCGATGTCCCTGTTGATGTCTCAAGATTACTCCCTCTGGAGGAAGTATATAAGCATACCCTTGTAGATTGTAGATTGCAAATGCACAGTCGTTACGGTTGGTGTCCAAGATTTGTAGGCTTCTCCCAAAGGAGGTCAGCTTCCTGGGTGGTAAGGCGTTCACCTCTTGGGGCGTTAGCCGTTCCCCTTCAAGGTATTTCAGCCTCTTGCAGAGGTGTGCAGGTCATTTACAGATTAAATGTTCTCTGGTTGCTTGTTCGCAAAATCTACAATGGTTATTGTCTGCTTTGTCTACCTATTGTTTTTAGGTGATATTTCACCAGGCAGTGCCCAGCAAGCAGACCAACGACCATTCTAATGTCTCTTCTGTTCATGTTGAGAAGTTGTTCAGATCTCTTTGCTGAGATGGATATGAACCGTTTTACCTGTCTCAGCCCCGGGACGGATCTTCAATGAGCCAGCATTCGGTCCCTTCCCATTTGTGCAGTTCTTCGGAGGCGTGGCATTTCATTAGTCCGCAGAAAGGCTCTGGGTTTTGAAAAAGTATTGTAGCGCCTTCCTTTGCGAGACGGTCTGCCTCCTGGTTGTCCTCTATGCCCTGGTTTCCTGGTACCCACATAAGGGTTATTTTGTTCCTACCAGCTAGTTGCTAAAGGATATTTTTACCCTCCCAAACTAGCTGCGAGGTGCACTTGATGGTTATTCCCAGTCCAACTCCTTCCGTTAGCTTCGAACCATCTGCGCACCACAATTATGCATTGTCCGCAGCGGTAGCTTTGCGTCTGAAAGGAGAGCGGAATTTAACTTAGATTTTCCACAGCCCTTTTCATCCAAAAATACTCACTTTCTCCACAAGTCGCCGGTACCCAGAAACCCTATTGTTGATAAAGAAAGGCTTAAAGGATTTTTTTATAAATAAAACACTTAATCTTTTCTAATACTCTGGGGCACAAAATTTGCAATCTCAATTGCCAACTAATCGAGAAAACTAATTTAAATACTAACAGAGATTTACTAATCAAGATTGAGAAATCAGAGGCAGTTGAATTCTAAACTCTTTTGCCAAAACCAAAAACGAGCACACACTTGACGTGACGTTTCCGGACACAGAATCACTTGTTCTTTCTTTGTCATTGGGTTTCTACGACAACGACGTACGACGTTGCCGATGTTGCGTTTTTAACTGCAACATAACTCCCCCGCGTTGAAACCTCAGTTTCAATAAATCAAATATTCAGCAACTGCTCAACACTGGAAATATATCTATATTAAACTACTAAAACTAAGAATTATTTAAAGTTGTAAAAATCGTGCAAGTTTGATTTAATATTGGTCATTGATGAGAAGTGGACAAATCTTTACAATCGATCGACTATAAACTCCATACTGAGTCTGAACCTTGACAACTCTAACCCTTCCATCCTTACCAGGAAAAATCTCAACCACTCTTCCTAAAGGCCATTTGACAGGTGGATCAGTGTCATCCTTGATCAAAGCAAGGTCATTGACCTTTACATTATCTGAAGCAATTTGCCACTTGGCTCTATTTTGAAGAAGGTTCAAATAACTTACCGACCAAGCCTTCCAGAGACATTGCTGAATTTTTGTATGTAAATTTCTGCCATAAAGACAGATGATTTTCGGGATATTTCATGAGATCTTTTTCAGGGTAGGAGGTGAGAGCTGAACCTATGAGAAAAAGTTCAGGGGTGAGATAAGAGAAATCAGTTGGGTCACTTGACAATACGCAAAGTGGTCGTGAGTTTAGAATTGCCTAAACTTGGGCTGACACAGTCGAAAACTTCTCAAAGGAAAGATGAGAATTTCCTTCAATTCTAATTAGGTGGTACTTAGCACTTTTTATGCCAGCTTCCCATATTCCACCATGAAGTGGAAAGCGAGCCGGTATGAATTTCCACTGAATTTTCAAGGTAAAGAGATAGATTTGCACAGCTTCGGATGTATCTTTTTTAAAATATTCAAAATTCTTTTAATTGATTTTTTGCCCCCAAAAAATTCGTACCATTATCCGAATATATTAACGCGGGTTTACCCCTCGGAGCAATGAAGTGCTTTAATGTCAGTAAAAAGGACTCCGCGCTGAGAGAAAAAACAACTTCAATGTGCACAGCTCCGCGTTACCAGACAAACAAATATTGCAATGTAGCACTTGCTTAAAGGAGCTCGACGTAAATTCGAAGTTTTGAGTAAAAATTGACCGCCATAATCAACAACTACATTTGTAAATGCTCTGCAAATCTGGAGTCGTTCCTTAGGCAAGTCACCCATGATTTGAGAAGCAACCTTTGCTTTAAATCGAGACCAGGTGATACAGTTATATATTATTCTTTCAATTTTTCGTAAGCCATCTATAGAGGCCAATATTTTAAACGCATATTTGATAGAGTGTTTTGCGGACCAGAATGACCAAGGCTGATATGTTCTCTTTGGAGAAGTAATCTCACGACAAAGCACTTTGATGGGAGTAAAATAGGGTATTTCTGATGATAAGGCACATGAGCATTTGACAAACGTCCGCCAACTCGTAAAATACAATCCTGATCCAGAAAAATATTCAACTTCAGTAAAGATTTATTTTGTATGAATTTTTTAGAATTCAAACTATGGATTTCTTCGGAGAAAAATTTCAACTGAATTATATGTATGTACAATTTTAGTTTCTGCCAATCTTAATTCTGGCACTACCATTTTTTCAGAGTTTTTGCGAGAATTATTTATGAATCGGAACGATTAGGCGATAAGTCTTTGGAGTCTAATAAAAGATGAATAATTGTATCATAAAAATCCAAATTCGAGTGTTGTAAAAATTGAGAACCGTTCCACCACAGATAAGAGACCTTTAGTTCACAAGGAGAAATACCACGAGACAGTAAGTCCGCTGGATTTTTTTTTTGATTTTACATGTCGCCAAGTATAGTTTCTCGTTAGTTCTTGAACTTGACTAACCCTATTGGAAACAAATATGGACCATTCGGAAGGATGAGATTTGATCCAGGCCAATACAATTTCTGAATTAGTCCACATATTAATGGATTCATAATTTACAATACTATTTGTTAAAATGGGGGTGATTTCCGAAACTAACCTTGATGCAAAAAGTGCTCCTAAGAGTTCTACCCTTGGAAGTGTGACTGTCTCAATTGGGGCTACTCGACTTATGGACGTGATTAAATTGCAACTAACTTTTTTATCTGCGTACACCACTCGAAGGTAAGCACAGGCTCCATAAGCCTTAAGGCTTGTATCTGCCCAAACGTGAATTTCAATTATTAGAGGAGTATGAAATGACAAAATAGGCCGTGAAATTGTTATGTTTGAGAGAGAGGGAAGATTTTCCAGAAAAGTTATCCACTCATTCATGAGTTCTGCGTCAAGACATTCGTCCCATTTAAGTTTAGCCAACCAGATTTTCTGCATCATAAATTTGGCAGAGACTACTATAGGGTTTATGAGTCCCATGGGGTCAAAAATTGAACTTATGTATGCTAAAACTTCTCTTTTTGTTTAGACCTCTTTGAGTTCGGAGCTGGGAAAGAAAATCGAAAAACTGTCTGACTTTGAATTCCATATAAGGCCTAAGACCTTGTTTGCAGCGTTTTCAGGGTTTTTCACATAGCTACTTTCTTGAGAACATTCAGAAACTGTACTTAAAAATTCTGATGAATTAGAACACCACTTATGGAGAGAAATACGGGCCGAGTGTAGAATATCGCTGATTTGCTGAAAAGCTTCAACCAAGGTATTTAAATCATTAGCTCTATATAGAACATCATCCACATAGCAGGAATTCAACAAAGCATCTGAAGCTAGGGGGTATTTCTCTGAATTGTTTTCCGCTAAATCTACCAAACAGCGAGTGCTTAAATATGGGGCGAATTTGGTTCCATAAGTGTTTGTTGTGAGTTCAATACAGCTCAGCTCTTTATCAGGACTATCACGCCACAGAATATTGAGCAAGAAGGTTTGATTCGGGTTAATTTGTATTTGCCGGAACATCTTCTGCATGTTAGCTGTTAGTACAAATGTGAAGGTTCTGAAACGGATAAGGATATCAAATAATTCTGACAGCACAATATATTCCTTCAACAAAATATCATTCAATGAAACGCCCGATGAAGATTTCATTGAAGCATCGAACACGACCCTTAACTTGATGGTTAAACTATTTTCCCTCAAAACACAATGGTGTAGGATAAAATATTTGTCTTTTGAAGAACTGTTCATGAAGGAGAGAGGAACATATCGAGCGTGACCGAGAGCAACATATTCTTCGATAAATTCTTTGTATTTGGAATTTAAATTTTCATATTTGGCC